GCGACTTCGTCTCGCAAAGTAGCCCGTTTACGACGCACCATGCACGAGAGTCAGACCACCCAGGAAGCCTTCTGTGCCCCGTACCCATCCGTCGTAAATTACCATCGCTGCTTCTGGAACGGATGCTCTTACGCGCTTATGTTTACGTGCCTCCAGCCTAAGTGACTACCGTCGCCTCCTGTGTTCGCCCACCGAGGGGTTGCTAGGGTTCCTGTACACTTCGGGGATGCCGCAGATCGAACGAAAGTGGCTTGCTGCCAGTACAGATGAGCGGAAGACGACCGCCAAGCCGCTGTTAACATAAACTCAGCCATTGCTCCGTGAGCATAATTCCCTTCGACGATGCTCCTAACGTTTCTCCTCGTATCCCACGAATCCCGTGGCTCGTTCTATGGCTCTGCGACGAACGAGATGTTCTTTGACAGGGAAGAAAATAGAAACCGTTCCCATGGATCGTTTGACAACCATTTTTGCAATTTCGGGTGATTTGCAAAGGCAAAAGAAAGGGTAAATCCGAGTTTGGTAAGCAATTCCTATGGACTCCGTTTCACTCGCGTTCGCCGCAGTCGAGTTTCATTTGTCGACCACGGAGAAAAGCGTAACGAGGTTGCGGCTCCCGTCCGATGAAATTTGAAGTAAACTTCGAACATATTTGAAGTTACGAAATTTTCGAAATAGCGTGAAGTTACGTAGAATTGCCGCCGCGGCAATGCGCAACTACCGATTTTATTGAAATGAACGAGGATTCACAAAGGCACGCGGAACTTTCAAATCCCGCGCCGGCTTGCGGAACACCCTGTGTACTAAAACCTAAGCGAAATCCCCGTCATTTATTCTGTTTTCTCTGAACAGAAAGGAACTTTCCGCCCCGAAAGTTGTTTGTTATTATTCCGCGAATTACCGTTCACCCCCGTCTCGGCCATTCAACGCTTGCAGCGTGCAAGGAGAGAATATTTAAATGTCGTTTAAACGCGTTGGAAACCGTGTGCTTTGCCCGACCAGCTGGCAAAAGTGCAAACAGAGGAAGAGCCTGGCGGCGGCCGGTAAAAAGGATAAACCGTCCGGAACAATAACGAAGCGCAAAATAAGAATGCAGACTGTGAAACGCGACGAGCGGAGGGAAGTTAGCGATCTTTCAATTCGTTGACCAAACTCAATTCAATTCCCTTTATCCGCCACTTACCCTCCCGGACAACTTCTTTCTTATTCCGCTCCACCGCTTATTATTCCTTTCTGAAAGTTATTCCGCGTGAATGCAAAATACGCGCGGCGTGGCGAGAGCTGCGAGGAGGTCACGGATGCACGGCGAAGATGAACAACCTCGTGAAAGAGAGAGTCAGGGAGAGAGAGAGAGAGAGAAAGATCGTGGACGGGTAGAAGAAGAGAAAGAGGGAGTCGGAGACGGGGTGTGGAAAAAAAGTAGCCAGGCCACGTAGAAAGTTTCGCGTAACTCGGAAGATTAGACAAGGCCGATGTTGCCGTCGGAGACAGCCGTTGTGAACAGTGAGAGAAGGCGAGGAAAGAAGATCGACTCCCGGGGGCGGGAAAACGGGGTGGGAAAAGGGGGTGGCGGCTCTTAGCGACGGACTTAAAAACAATTGCCTCGCGGCGACGCGGGAATTTTAAACACACTTTTATCGACGGTCCGGATGGCTTTTGTTCGACGAATTTGCTCGGGGGTTGGAACGGGGTGAGAATCGAGGACTCGACGCACTCTGTCCACGATCGAAGGGCTTTAAGGCAATTTACGAGGGGTTTTACGGTTTCAAGTGACGCCAGACTGTCCTGATCTTTTTCCGTTCTACCTTCTCTCTCGTCCGCGTCACCCCCTGCCACCCCTTTCTTCCTTCCCGCGGTCGCTTTATATTCAATGTTGTTTTAATGCCGCCCGCTCCGTTGTCTTTTACCGCTGAATTATATTCGCCGGATGGCGTGGCGGAAAAATTGCCACCGTGGAAATTTGAATAAAGACGAATCGACGCTTCTGGCCAGCTCGGAAATTATCGCAGAAGGCTGCCGAGGAAAATATCTGGTTAAACGCGCGCAACGGGTTGAACCCGAGGGGAACGTCTTGTTTCCTCTTGTTAAAGTGGCCAACTGCGACGCGTGTGCACCGTAAAGCGACATCGTTACGCGCACTCGCGGCGTAGTTTTCTGGATAACGACGAACAGACGCCGATACAGAGGATCCTTGGAACTGCTCCTATGATGGTACAAAGAAACTCGCATCAGGGTAATGTGGCGGAAAGCTGGAGCGCCAGCTTAGGGGTCCGTGGTTCGCCGTCTTTGAGGCGAGGTCGCGCGGTGGTATTCGAAAAAAGGCGGAGATTCTCGGATAAAGAGGGTTCAAAAACGCTTGCAGCATTCGCGTGACACGATGATCTATTCGAGGGCAATCGCGATGACTGAGGAAATAATGGCGTATAAATGGTAAATTGAGATATATCGTACCTGTACCCGAAAGTTTGCTAGTTAGGCGTGTTGATCAACGTAATTCTCCATTGCGGAAAAGAGAAAACACGAGTACACGCGAGTTCGAAACAGCGATCCCAAATTGAGGAATAAACTTTCCCCGCGTTAGTTCAAGTTTAAAGTTGTTCAACTTTGGACACCTGTTTATTTAAGTGCTTTTAGAATTACGTTATGCAAGTGGGGCTAACTCGCTGCCGTGTCTTTTCAATTAGTTTCGTCAATGAGAAACACGTATTACCTCTAACAATTTCAGATACACGTCGAAAGTTTACTCATGGACAAAAGTTAAGCAACGAAATGGCTCCTTTTTCCTCCAACTTTTGTATATTCTTTGCCTTCCGAGATGCGTGGATTACAATTAAAAAATAGAATAAACGGATGACATCTTGTGCATAGTTAAAGGATAAGTTTCTCTTCGAATATCTAGCATAGAGAAGGAAACGGCGAAAAGATCAGAGTGTAAAAGATATACAAAAATTCGCGAATTATTCTCTTGTTTTTCATCTTTTATCGGTATGTATCAATGGTAAACATATAAAACGTCGTATCCGATAGAACCAAGGTTTCCAAGGAAATTGCTCAAGGTGGTGATCTGCCTAACATTCGAGCAGTGCTTTTGCCGAAGAAAACTGGTACTGGTAGATCTGAAAATGGGGCCCCAGCGTCCCAGGAATATTAATAATCTTTAGAATAACCTTTCTAACTTAACTGTACTTTAGGGCTACATTTTTGTTTCCTGACGTCTAAAAAACAAAAACGACGTAATTTATGAAACCTATCAAATTACCTACATTGTAAAATCATATAAACTAACGGTGCAATCTACTATTTTATTAATAAATAACATTTCTTATTTAGCGAATGTAATAGTAAATTGCATAATTACTGGAAAAAAGGTTTCTGATTTTATACCTAAAATTTATTATTTAAGTATACTCATTTCGTTTTGTTCCTTCTGATTCCGTATTAAATTCTTAGTGACATTCTACTAACTATGAAAAGAAACGATGACTATGATGCGTGAAATGTTTTTGTTGACTGTAAACAATATTTCGAGTGAAAATAAAACGTCATTACTCTAAAACATCAAAACAATTTTCTCCATGAACTGAACAGTAATTCCAGCGATAATATCGGAATAAATATTCCAAGCATTCTGTAACTTCGTACTAATAAACACTACGCCGATCTTTCCCCTTTCGAGTCGCGGAATACCTCGGCAAAATGCAACAGTCGAGAGACGGTGGGCGAAAGAAGGAATCATACCTTGCATTTAGCGGGCCATAAATTATCGTTTACGGAGGGCTGCAGGGGGTGGGTACGCCGTGGCGAAAACGAAACAGCCATGAGCTGTACAGGAATATTTGCGTGGCGGGAAAGGGGGTGGGGGACTTCGATTACAACTCTTGGACGAGCCACTAAACTGACGGCGCACGAGGAAGAAACGAGGGTGGTTGCGGAAGGTTAGCCGCTCCACTGGGCTGTAACTCGAACTAACCCCGAGAAACACCACCGCCCCGGGAACTTGCCGCGTCAGCCTTGCTATAAGGTCGAAACCTACCGCCTACGGACAGGAAACGGAATCCAACTTCCTTCCTCGAGGGCGAAGATTAATCTCGGCGCAGCCATGCTTCTACCTGTGCCACGGTAACCCCCTTCGAGCTCCACCACCCTCTCCCGACGCCCCGTTTACCGCCCGTGTTCTTCTCCGCTCGCGAGACCGCGTACACTTCTCATCGGGCTCTTTCTATCTGCCTTTATCAATCTGACTCCAACTCGCCCGTGCTAACCGCTGTATAGCGGTTATATAAATTTCGCTCCTGCGGTTCTTTTTAGCTCGTCCCTAATTCGTTGGCGAAAGTGGCTGTTATGGTCCGTCAATGGCGACGGAAGCCTGATCTTTCGAGGACTCGGTTCACTTCAGCATCTTCGCGAATAACAACCCCTTGTACCCGACTCTCGATCGTCAGCTAGGAAAATTATAGAAATTGACCGATGTTTATTATGACAGGTTTGTTATGAAACGACCTCAGTGTGGAATATATTATTCATCAGGTATAGAACAGGTTTTAGGTATAAGAATTTATGGTACGTGGGTAGGACAAGGCTCTTAATAGAAATCGGTGTGTCACGGTGTGTCATAAATTTCACGTGACTTTGATACATTTGATATGTTAATTTTCGCGATATTCCGTTTACCTTATCAACGTTTCAAAAAATGTCGTCGAGTTTGGAAGAGGAAAGCTTGGAGTTTCTGCTATCGCGTAGCAAAGAAACCCTCGGGTGCACATGGTTGACCTGCCTCGCGATTTATTTTAAGCCTCGCAAACATCGCCAGTGCGGCTAATTCGTAGAGCAAATAGGCGAGAGTTCATTTGAAAGCAAGAATGAGAACGAGACACGCGTTGCTCGCGTTAACTCGACACGCAAGAATTTACGACCGTGTCAGTCGTTTGACTAACAGCACGTCTTCATCGTACGAGCTGAACGTGACTTGAAGCAGCACGTACCGCAATTTAATTTTCCAGATCCTTGCGGTAACGTGGAGTGCGTAGAACCGGAAATCTGTCAGCTGGACGAGTCGAGGCAACCTGGCTGTCGTTGCGGCGAGCAGTGCGGCATCGAGTTCGCACCAGTTTGCGGAAGCGATGGTAAAACATACTCGAATGAATGCAGCCTCAGGCAGGAAGCTTGCAGATCGAGATTATCGCTCAGGAAGGTCTACAATGGCGCATGCAACTCAGGTAATTTCAAATTCACCTACCAACAGTCCACGTTCCTCGGAGACGTATGCATCATTATACAGACGCACGTTGAACACGACAGTTTGTCTCACGAGTCGTTATACTTTGATAAACTTATCGAGGATAGAACTACCGATCTCCAATGGCTACACTGCCGACGATGATTAAATTCGTGTCGTAAAAATAATTAGAATTAAAATAGTTAACATTACCAAATTTTGACTACGGGGTTACAGTAGCCAGCGAGGAAGACAAAATTCGTTATCGGATTGGTTTCGTTTGCAAGATCATCGATATTTATCAGTCAACAAGTTGGCATTCAGATTTAATCGTTTAAATGCCACACAGCACGACCGCATTGCTAAGTTTCGTATTTTGGAAAGCGCCATTGTGATTTTATCGCGACTTCGGTTTCACCCGCACTTAGGACGAACAAAGTCGGATCGCGTGGCAAAATTAGTCCGATAATTGCTGCCATAGAAACGATTAAATGCCGAACGAAACAAAGCCATCATTACCAAAGACCGATTAAATCCAACGAACCAAAGTCCTTAATAAACTCCACCCTCTCTGCAAACGATGAACCCTCCGTGAAAAGAATAGCCGAATCCGAAACCCGATCCATACACAAATGTCTGCCCTAACACCGACAGCAACCGCGAGAATCGCTGTCTACTTTCCACCCAAACGAAAATTCCATATTCCCAAGGAAAATCTGCAAATCAAACAGCAACATCCTTCGCGGTTCGTCTCGGCCCGTCACCACCGTCGAGCCATTCACCGGCTACCCTCGTCCTGATTCAGAAGCGGAAACGTTCCAAGCGGAATAAACGTTTCGTAATACCCACTGTTACCCCGGCGTAAACGAGAAAGCTCGATGATGAGGGTTGGCGATACGGCTCGGTAAGAGGGGACGTTTTTAATCTGCGTGATTGTGCAGGAATCAATCCGTGCGACGAGGCGAAGTGCGGCCCCTACGAGCAGTGCGTGATCAACCGACAAGGAATTGCGAGTTGCGAGTGCGGTCCAGAATGCGAAGAAGTGATGAGACCGGTGTGCGCGCGCGGGGGAAAGACGTACATGTCGCTGTGCGAGCTGAAGAGACAGGCCTGTTTAACGAAGACCAACATCGAGGTCGCGTACACTGGCACCTGTGGCTCCATGGGCCCCTGCACCGAGAAGGTCAGTCGAGTTTATGCTCCAGGTGCGAGATACGCGAAACATAAAGGAACAGTGGCAAATATTTGAACGAGTAAACAAACGCGCGACGTGACGAAAATCGAGGCGCGGATGTAGGGGTTTCGACTCAGTGTTGCTTAAGTTAGAGAAACGGGAGGAAGGACTCTTGTTTTGAGAAATTGTCCAAGGAATTGAATCGCTATGGTCAGTTTATTTCGGCTATTTCTTTTCCCTTTTGTTCTTTTTGAGGGAGAATAGGAGGAAGGGAAAATAGATGACAGGGTTTGAGAGAGAATGCGAGGGAACACTTGGATCTATCTAGCTGATGATGGACAATAAACAGCAGTCTAGATTCACTCTCGAAGGGTGACGTTCAGCGTGACGTCTGGGGTGTGCGTGGAAGGACGAGTTACAGCGTGTAAGGATATTTATGATTGTATCGAGTGTGAACGAGGAGCGAGAGTTAGGAATGCGTCTGAGTGTTTGGAGTACCTGGTCCACCTGGGCCAGATCACGAGGGAGACGAATGAACGAGAAAGAAAGCATGCATATGGAAGAGTAGGTATAAATAAGGGTGCAAGGGCTGTCTTAACACGTTCACGCTGGCGCTGATTTTTGTGTTTCTCGCTGTAGGACGGCGCGTGTATTCAAGCACCCTGAGCTACTATTTTAATATATTGACTGTTTATTTTAAAAGTGGTGTAAGTCAATTTAAAAAAGAGATATCACGAAAATAAAAAGTTTATGCTAAACTTTTGTTCTGATGGAACATTCGAATGTAAGCCACCGGTGGTACACGCCGGCGTGAACGTCCTTTGCACACAGTCCTTTACGGAGTCCTTTACTCCTAAGTCTCATTTAGGTCGTAATAAACATATATTAAAATAAAACAACATCTCCTATTCCCTATATTTGTCAATCAAAGGTATCCCTACATAGATATGAAATATGGGTACATTGCTTCGAGATATATATCGAACTAATAAATAACGAGCTGCAAAACTTATGTGGATAACGCTGTTCGAAAAGAGGATTATAGAACGAGGAGAAATTGCTGTAATCAAAGGCGTTGATGATAAAGATATATCGTACTTTATGTATATTCGTATCGAAATGCTGAGATATTCGTCGAATGAAGTTCAGATTAAATTCGGGATGGCTTGTAAAATTTATCTTGCGAGTTGATATATTCTATATTTTTATCGCGAAAATATTCTCGCAGTTTGCAGCTTAAATTGCTCGTTGTTTGCTTTAGCTTGAATCCATGTCGACCTTAATTTTCAAACGTTCCTGTTAATTCCTTCGTAAGATCGGTTTACTTTGTAAGATATACGCGTATCACCGTCAGTCTCGAATTTATTAAATAATCCAAAGAAGATTTCGATATTTAAATTTTCGCTAAAACTGCGATCCTGCCAAAATGATCTGCAATTGTTATATCGAATCGTGCTTTCCATTGATCGTATCCACGCTTGGTTAGTCGTCCCTTTCGAGGGACGAGCGCTTCGGAAAGGCGGGAGGAAAAAAGAATCAGCGACGACCTGTGCAAAGCACTGGGACGATTTACGTTAAATCCCGCGAATTAGAGTAGCGCGTAAATTTCGCGATGCGATAAAATATCGCGAGCGATAAATTATCAGCTTTGCGCGAACGACTAGCCGAGAAAACCTACGACAAAGAGGCTGCTGTCGCCGAAAGGTGAGGCATGAAAAAAGCAAACGATGATCCACCGCGATTAATCTCGCGTTTTTCTCTGGGTTCGGAACACAGAGAAATGGAGAGAGAGACGGAGACGGAGAAGAGAAAAAACGTAGAAATGAAATGAATCGCCGCGTTTGGGATCGAAAATGTCCAAGGGAAAAAGCGAAGCTGATAGGAATTTCTTTTGCAGATCTGTCAGTGGGGCGCGATTTGCGCGGAAACCAATGGCACAGCGATTTGCGAATGTCCAACCTGTCCGGCGGAATTTCAGCCGGTTTGCGGCAACGATGGCATCAGCTACGGAAACGAGTGTAAGCTTCGCCTGGAGGGCTGTAAACATCGACGAGAGATCCGCGTGCTTTACCAGGGACTCTGCAGTGAGTACCAATCCCCTCGAAATGGGGTGCTCTTTAATACCCTAGAATTTTCAACCCCGATTCCCATAATCCACCTTCTCGTGGACGTATTACGCTATTTTTAATTAATACCCTTCCGAGTATTCAACTAAATTTTGGATCATTCGTTTTGCAGCTGTCCATTGTGCGACACTTAGAAATTTCACATTCGAATGGGAGAAATATATAGGGTACGTCGATAGGAGTGACTATCCAGATGACTCGCCATCTACTGGATGAATAAATAAATTTTTCACGCGAATCTTTTGTTTTGGTATCCTCTCGTGGAAATTGCTTTCGAAATTCATGGTTAGTAAAATATTACCTTATCGTAGGTCGTGGAATGTATCATTTTACTGGTTGTCGCTCTTATTGACTCATCCTGTATATATTCTTCGCTGTTGTTACCGTAATGTATCGATTACGTATTTCGTAATCGAACGATTGAATTATTTTTTAAAGCGATATTTTTACTATCCTGAACTAATAAATCTGCATCATTGTATATCTTGTTTCCGACAGACAGGATATATAGAACTTCAATTAAAAACCAACTATGGTAGTGCATCCATCAATTTGGAAGCTCGAATAGCCCAATTAATTAAATTATATCTATACAATGGTTTATTACTCGAAATATAACCATGGGCATGACGTCAGCTTTTTGACAAGAAATCGAGACCTGTCTACTCGTACTGATTCGCTGACGAGAAATGAATTGGTCGGTTAAATTCCAAATGAAGCCGTCGAGCGAGCGATCGTGGGAAATGATTTTAGAATTATGCAAACGAGGTGGGCGAGCTATTACGGGAGACGTTAAATATCTAATCATAGAAACAAGCGTTATGGATCGACTAATATGAATAAATCATCATCGATAATTGTCTCGGCGTTACAAAACGATTCGAAAATAGATTAACCAAGGGGCTCGTTTAAGCGAGCAGTCATTTAACAAACGTACCCGGGATAATTTAGCTTTTTACTGTATGTCGTTAGAGAAACCTTGGTTCGTTTAAAATTTCGTTTCCTCGCCGAAACGTCCGACGATTATGGTTTTTCCTCGCGAAATTCGTCGACCGAGCATCGGTCGATAGGCAAAGCGGAACAATTAGGAAGAAGGTAGCGGGTAAATAATTAAGGAAACTTTATTACGAAACGAGGCGGCTGGGAAGTAAGAAAATCGACCAACGATCGACTCCGACTGGCCGAGTTCATTATATCGAGTTCATTATATCGGGGCTCGAACAATTAGATTCGACCTACGACCACGAGATTGCTCTTTCTTCGCGAAATCAACAGGGTTCGAGGTTTCTTATAAATAATCGATCCACCGGAGAATAATTTGCATACAATGTTTGAACCTTTTGATCCAACCTCCTCCTCGATATCATAATCGTGTTTGCATGCTGATCAACCGCGAGCCTTTGTGCCTTAAGAATTTTTCGCTAACGGTATTTGCATGTTTACTGAGAAATCCTTTATGCAAATGAGTCCGCAACCGAAACGAAATCTCGTTTAAACGTTCAGCTATCGGTAGATCTTTGACAAAGCTAGTTATGCGGGATATTTGTAACGATATGGCTTACGCTCTCTGCCAAGCTTAAATATCACGCCACGTAAAAATATTTATCGGTCTGATTTGCTACTTAATCTCTCGAACTAATTATTTAATACTTTGTTGCGTGCCACTCGAGTTTATTTGCATTGACAGTTATTTGGAATTCCAGCGAATATCATATCTCTGCGATGTTCCAATTATCAACCTAACTAATAACAGTATTATTAATTATTATATTATAATTATATTAATAGTTATAATTATCACGCGTTATTCGAATACGATAAATTTGATACAATTTATCGTTATAGTCTTTGATCGATGTTGCACTCGATACATTTTTCCCACCATACATTCCAATTCTCGTTAAACAACGAAATGATTAATTTGATCTTTAATCGTGCAACGCAGAGTAAAAGAAAGACAAAAAATATCGAAGATATGGATTCTATATTTCGACGGTGTCTAAATTAAAATCCAAAATGACGAGATTAGGAAGAGATCGAAGAACACCGTGGAGCAACGAAGCCGCGATGAAAGCAGGTTTCCCACTAGGTGGCGAGCACCTTCCTCGATCTTCGGCCGGATGAGCGTTCGCCACAGAGAGATCGAGTTAAACTTTTCTCATAAGCCGCCTCGTGACTCGAGTAACCGCTCGTTTCGAGAGGTTCGGCCAAAGAAATCCCGTCGAATCGTCGGTTGGTGCCGAATTCCCCGGAACCCTGCGCTGCGGCCCTTGGATAATTTGCATGGTTTAAAATCGCGTGAAACTTGTGAAACGTACTGCCGGGATTCGGTTCCATGCATATCACGGGGCGCGGGCGACTTCGCTCCTCGCTGAAATTCTATGAGTTGTTACCCCACGGCATGCACGTTGCATATGCATGCGGCACCGGCCCACCCACCCCACGGATCTCACCCGTCCCTATCCTTGGCGCCTGACTTTAGCAGTATATACCGATCAGGAGCGACGGGATTCTCGTATCGCGACCGAGGAAAGCTAGAAGCTACTCTCTCATCGTCTCCCATCCTCCTATCCCGGGTTAGGGTTCTCCCAAGGCTTGTTACCCTCCGCCGTAGTAGCATCATCGACACGTCGCCGAAGAGTGAGAGAGATAGAGGGAGACAGAGAGCGGTAAGCCGATGCCCCTTTCCTCTCGGATTTCAATGAATTCTAAAGATAACTTCTCGACTGCAAATCCTACTTCAATGGGTCTACGTCCTGCCGCTTCTTGTTGCTCTCTCTCTCTCTCTCTCTCTTTCTCCCTTTCCATCTATTCACCCTTTTGCTACCCCCGACTACTCTTCCTTCGCTCGGTTCCCCGATTTCCGGATCCACACGCAGTCACACCGGCAGATAATTTCCCTCGGAACGGATGCAGTTATGCAAATACCGGGCGGGAATCTTTATTAATGCCGGGTTGAACGTCGGCCAGAGGGTCCGCAACAGGGTGGCGTCGGCTGCTTTGCGAGCGCGTCGATGCCCGGAATCACGGAAACGGAAGAACCCTCGCGCCGCCCTAAACAATTCAGCCCGGGATAGCCCGGTGAATTAGCGGCCACGCGCGAGATATCGCGGCATCTGAGATTTCGAGCCGGGCTAGCTCCTACGAATTCGCGGTGACGAATGGTCTGTCTTGCCGGGCTTTTTGCTCGCTGGCAATTACCAGCGGAGATAGATCGTTCGGATTGCTAGCACGGAACGAGGAAACGCGACGCTGGCTGCTCGTTAATTGGAAATGTTTCGTTGTTTGTTCGCAGATGGATGCGAGAACAAGAAGTGCGACTTCTACGCCGAGTGCGAGAGCGACAGCACCGGCGAGGCCAAGTGCGTCTGTCCCAGAAAGTGCGATGGACTGGTGAGTACCTCGCGTGTGCAGTAAAATCGCGATTATCGAACTCCCTGTTAACCCAGTTGCATCAGTAGCATGTATGTACGCGAATTTATATCGCGAGTGAATAGCAATGAACGCGGACAGATTAATTCTTTATCTCCTTTTCTTTTTTTCTTCCTTTTATTGCGCAGAGCAGGGATTTCTAGTGCGAAGTAATTAATACGCCAGGGGTGAGCTACTTTCTTCATTTTCATTTTTATATTCGACGAGTTACCGAGATATTAAGTTTCTAGGACTACTGGAATATTCGTAGATCTACGTTTTCGTTATTTCGTATGATGCAGTTGGGTTTACACGAGGGTAAGAAATATTGGGAGAATGGAATGGTTTGGTCGCGATAATCCAAGTTCTATCGTAGATTACAGATTCAACCGAATTACAGGGAAAGTTTGTGAAACCTATTTCGAAAGCTGTTTTGAAATCAGTTTTTTATTTACACGTCGGTACATCGGAGAATCTTATTTTTAAATATACAGATTGCGGGGGAAAATATGACGAAGTTCGGTTTTGTTGAGTTTTTTAGTCCCATGTTAGATGATGGATAAAGAGAAGCGTGTTAGTGTAATATAATAGAAGAACAATTTACTACTGCCAAAGATATATAAAATATACGTTAAAAATAAACGATAAACTCACGATATTTGTTCATAATTAAGTAGAATTAGGAAGAAAAAGAATTCGATTTGGAATTTCTTCCATTCAAAATACGAAAAGCTTATTAAAAAGCCTATTAAAAACCTGATTATCGTTAACACGTTAATTTCATTTTCGCTGTGTATTCAAAATTTCCCAGTTTCCCTTTTAGCGTTCGTACATACGAATATCTTCATAAAGATCTCCCAAAGAGCTTATTTACTCGCGAAATTGCAAATTTCCAGTTATTGATTGTTTACGTATTGTAATAACAAAAATAGCAAGCCATTTTTGTTTGCATAACGAGTAATTAAATAATCCTGATTAAATCCGAGATAAATATAAATTCATTCGGGAATACGTATTTTCGCAAGTCGTTCGGTCGATCGTTTTAATTAGACTGTTAAACTGTTTGCTCTTGATGATGATACTCGATTCCAGCTGATGAAACGCGGACGAATCGAATTAAGGCATAATTCTTCGAACAGAATGCCGTTCTCTCGCTGGATCTACTTAACCTTTGGACTGAAACGAGTACACCGCCGCGGATTAATCCGTAAATCGTATTGAAGTAATCGAGTTAATCCTTATCAAAGTGAATTGGAACGCATCGTCTGAAGCTTGGTTAGCCGATTCCAATTTTCCGACGCGCAAATCCGTTCGTGAAATGATAATTTTTATCCCGTTTGCCGCTCGCCACTTCCATTCCTTTAATGAAATAGAGATGAAGCCGAGCTGCCGCTTGAAAAGAAAATAAAAGCCCTGAGAGACCGGTCGAAAGTTCGAGGATGTTTTTGATAACAGTTTCTTGCCGAACTTTCGCGCGATTCGCCGCGACATTAGCATATTAAATCCGAGGACTTTTTGTTTTTACTAGTCCGGGAAATAGCTCGTGGCATATTCGCGTTACGTTTCTCGTAAAAATTTGCGAAATAACTTCGAACGGGTGTAAGCAAACGCGCGTCCGGAAGGAAAATCATTGCCCCAAAGTTGAAAAATAGCGAAGGCTGTTATCTAAACGACTGCTCATGCCGCAACGTGGAATGGGGTTATTTCAGATAACAGTACTTATTTACCACTTTACTCTTTCCGTTCCTAAAATCTCATGCTCCATACTATAAACTGCGTTTAAAGGAAACCACCGAACACGAGCTATCGTATTTACGAGATACGCGATTTATCCGGTAGATGTGAATCTCGAAGGTGAAAAATCCTCTCCATTCGAATATTACATTTATCAACATTGCTAGCTCGATCCTCGTTGACGTTTAAGGATTAATTACTGTAGGAATGGAATGAGTACGGCTCTGAAAGAGTATCAAGAGTGTTTGAGCTTAGAACGAGAGCGACCACGTGCAAGAGGATCGAATGTAAGGGATGTTTATGACAGAGCCGAGTGCGATAAACGAGAGTGGAAGTCTATGAATGCGTCATGTGTTGGAAGGACTTGGTTCACCGAGGAAAGAGTATGATTGAGAAGCAAAGCCCGAGTATGAAAGAGGACAGAGTGCAAGGTTTGTATAAGGGTGCAAGGATGTGAAAGATTCAGTGTGTATTTTAAAGTCAGCCAAGAATTATTGAATCTTAGAATAAATTTTAGTTTAAAATAAATCATTTTTATATTCACATCACTCATTCTGTTGCCTGCCCAATATTCCTACATTACATAAAAGAAAAGTCCTATTAACCGAACAAACATAATAAACCATCGAACGGTACCGCTCTCTAGGCCTTCACGTGCTTACCATCATTTGCAATGTTAAGCCTCGGTCGTTCACACGGCTTAAGTAAAATATTCATTTCATGATGGATGTGGCGACGGCTATATATACATAGCACAGCCAGAATACGCTGGTCGTGCACGATATTTCGCATTTCCGCTTCGCTACTCGATGTTACGCGACCGTGTAATGAACCGTTCGTATCATCGATACCGACCCACCTTTTCAAATCGGCCAGCATGCACGCCATTTTCATTAAAGCCTTTCTATCAATTTTCCCATCGGCTCTCTGTGATTTCCTTCCTTTTTCGTTTCTAATTTCGTCGGCCGCGCCTGCCGAGCGTACTCAAGTAGCGATTCCTCAGCGTCGAACGATTTCGATCGTTCCTGCTGCAATTTCGAAAATTAATCGACGCTTCCTCGGACTTCGAAACGATCAATTTCGCAGAGCGAAATGGTACCGTCCCTCGATTCGACGGTAATAACATATTCGAGTGAAATTTATGGGTATCTCTTTACGAGTGTTTCCAGTATCCATAGCGTTCCGTCGGTTTTCCACTTTTCAATATCCATCGTATTCTCTCGCAACACCTCTTATTGTATCTTAACACGACAAACGCGAATATTTATAAATCTTATTTAAAGAATTCGAATGATTTTTACCGGAGTTCAAATGTGCTAAGAAAGGGGAGGCTGGATACGAAAATCGCAATTCCTCGCGATCGTATCGCGGAGCACGGGAACGAAAGCTATGGAAGCAATGGATTCTGGGGTAAGAAATTTACCGACACCTCGCCATAATACCACGTTGCGGCAAATTCGTCGCTTCCCCGATCGTTCGGAACGAAACGTTCCCATATCCGGCTCGTAACAATCAATCTTTCTGGGGATCGAGGCTGGGGTACCGTGTTGATTCTCCTCGAGACCCCGAGTGCAGGCAGGGAACGAATACGTGCAACCAGGAGACGGGGAGAAAAAAAAAAAAGTGGGATAGGGAAGGAACGCGGCTTTATCGCGGGTAATCCGCGACGGTTTCCCGGAAGCTCACCCGGAGCAAAATTTCCCGGAGCAGAAATATTCGTTGAGAATGGAGAGCACGTCACGGTGCCCCGAGATAGCGTTCACTAGCTAGAAAAGGCTTCTTTCCTTCGATCCGGTCCAGGACACACGGCGATTCGGAAATTCACGGATTCGTGAAACGTCCTGCTGACAAAACCACGAACAATTCTGACCTTTCTCTCACGCTCTCTCTCTCTCTCTCTTTCTTTCTTTCTCTTCGGCTCTTTTTTCCTTTTTCCCGTGCAGCACGCCGATGTTCCAGGGTCGTTCAGGTAACTGCCGCAGGCACATGCTTCTTTTTCCAAAAGGGATCAGAAAGGTGGTCGATCGCCGCAGAGGCGTCTGCTACACGAGCTGGCCCCGAGCTATCCGAAATTCAACGACGTTCGCGTTAGAAGATGCTTATGGCCGACCAGCCATCAACCTAAACGACCTCGCGCCAACGAAACGTGCTATCGACTCGTGCAGCTACCACGAGACACACGTTTAACGGCCGATCTCTTTCTTCGTTGTTTCGGCAAGTGGATCTACTCGTGCACGAACGGTTGTCACGGTATCGAGATGCCTGAGTAATCGGCGACAATGAAATCGATGTGCTCTTGTCCTTGTATTTTTTACGATCTTCGTCAAAGATTGACGTTCGACCCATTACGTGACCGGTTCTCCAGCGTCACTGACCACGTAGTCCGGAAGAAATGGGAATGGGAGAAGAATTAGGAGAGAGGGGTTAACGCGATGTCTAGGTTGAAAATATATCACGAGACATGAAAGTTTCATGCTCGCTGCAATCGAATATCTCGCGATGAAAAATGTACGATCCGCGAAATCGATTTTCATGGGATAATCCAATTGCTGAATAATTTCTAAGGTGCAAGAATAATTCAGCTTCTTCCCGATAGAGGTATTTAATTATTTCGAAGAGATTCGTCAGCTGACCAATTGTCCGTTGATCGGATGCAATTTTATCCTTCCAACGATGGAAAGAAACAACGCGAATTGTTGCTGGCTGATTGCGATGTATCAGCGTAATTCTTGGCGGATGATCACCGGGCGTTTCGCCTCGTTCTTTCGTTTTGAACGCGAAATCGCATCTTCCTCGCATGGACGCACGATATTCCCGCGAATTGGACGCGTCAGCGTTCCGCTGCGGAGGAACAGGAACGAAAGGACCTGCGAGGAAAGATGGGACGAAAAGGACTGAATCAGAGGCGCTGCGAAAGAGATGGGGGTTAGAGGCATTGTTTGAACTGCAAACGAGGAATATCGGCACGTCCCAGCCACCCTTAGATCCCCGTGAATCCCTCCGTAATTGTCTCGTAAATTACAATAAGAAGGCGGCAAGGTGCGTATCAACTTGTCGCGGAAACTAATTAAAACGTATCGACCCGGCCGTCTCTCCGTTATACCTTTGTCCCTTATCATGGGAATAAAACTGAGATATTTATTAATCCGTCGAGTGGATTAAGGAAGGAGCGGAACGGGAAAAGGATAAAGCTCTCACTCGTCGCATAATTGCTTTTCCAAACCGATTACCCTGTTTACCGTCGATAAATTCCCTTCGAATTCAATATGAAAGATGTAATAACACGGAGTGCATCTTCCTTGATACGGCACGAGAATCGCGTAATTCTTCCTGATAAAAATAATTCCTTCCTACTTCATTTTCCGTAATCCGATTAAACATCGCTTGGACCATTAAATATCCCTTGTTATTGCTTGTCGCGAAATATTCTTCTCGTTCATACGCGAATTTTCGAATATACCAGCTACCATGAAATAATATACAGGGTGGGCACCATGTATTGCCATCTAGATATACTTCGTCATTATTACGCATAGCGAAAAATATTTCGGATGAAGTTGAATGTTTTGAGAGAGCCATATTCTCATGATACTAGTTTTCTTATAGATGGGCGTGTATTCTTTACGAGAAAGTATTAACCTATTTATGTTAAAAAATCATTAGTTTAGTAGATATTTTAATTTTACTGTGTATTTACGGAAAAGATTCAATGTGGCTACCATTTGCATCGCAACACTTTCTGAATCGATAAATTAATGATTCATTAGGTATTCGATAGCATAGCCATTCAACTTCATCTTCATCTTAAACATTTTTCGCTATGCATGATAATAATGACGTATATGTAGGATGGCGAAAACTGGTTTTGACACACCAAAGTCTGACAGAGCAACAAGAACAGAGTAACACGAACACAAAACTCATAAAACTAATTTAACTTAGGAAAATAACACCAAGATAAAGAAAACACAGGGAAACGCAGTCTAATTTAACTCTCTTTTCAACACCGAGCGACTCACGCTAGTGCCGGTCACAATTAATTTCTGAGGACTCTGTTTTGGTCGTCAAGGGTCCTGCTTTTATGCTTATGGGACCACGCAACTTAATTTTGCTACCCAAAGTAACTCTTCCATTTGCTTCTAGAAAATATCGATCGATTTATAATTTGTTTTTGTTTTCAATGGCCGATTCGCGATTTCTGTCCGAAATGGTATCCTACATACGTTTAGATGGCAATACGTGGTAACCAACCCTGTATGCTCGATCATGCTTATCGTTCGCGTAGCTTGATTCGTATACGGTGTAATTTAATATTTTCGTTATCCGTGACGCAATCACTCGCTGCATGCCGAACGAGCTTGCGATCTCGCAGGTACGTGGGGGTGGAAAAGCTCAGCCAAGTGAAAACGCGAGGAGAAGACCGGAGGGCAAGTCACGTTGGCCGACAACGCGTGTAATAAGCAAACAACGGGCTGGATACCGAGGCCAAGCTAATTAAGTTTCGCTCTTTCGCGTATTATTTCTCATCCCTGCACGCGGCTCATCCCCCGGCGTCGCGACGCCAGCGTATGTCAGAATGCCGGCCCAGCTGCGCCTTGGCCGCGTGCAACAAGTGCGAAACGCGTACAACCTCGCGTTTTTCCGCTGTTTTCCCTCGCGAACACCCCCAAACTACGTAAATACGAGAAAGTATCGTGGATACGACGGGGTTGGTTAGTGGACGATTAGATTGCGGAGTTAAAGGTATTATTTGCTTAAAAGGTAGAGGAAAATGATGCGATATCGTATTCGCGGAAACACGGACGGTCTTTTAGCCCTGAAAATATTTTCTGCTAGAAAATTTTACCAGTAGAGGTAGACCATTTTTACATTCGTACAGTTTGCGTTACGAATTGTGATAAATTGAATAGCATCGGGAGACACAGATTTAATTGGGTCATTCCCTGATTGGCGTGCATGGAAAATACTTATAATAAGATAACTTGTAATTAAATCAATCGACTTCGATACGAATTATTCTGTTGAATATGTAATTTTGTTATTGATCAATTTGTTAATGAGCAACATTGCGATGACTCGTTTCGTGTACCAATTTCAGGAGAAAGAACCTACAGTCAATGACAAGATTTGTGGCTCCGACGGAGTAACCTACGACACCGAATGCGCTTTGAAAATGGCCTCCTGTAGCTCTCAGACGCTCATCACTATCAGCTACATGGGTGACTGTGGTAAGTTCTCTGGCTACTTTCGTGCTTTTTGTCATTTTTACGTGAACCGTCATATTTTTGTTTCTTCGTTAAGTATAAATTAATTTGAAAAAAGAAAGAAGAAGAAGATATTGAAGAATTGTCTTGAAATTATAAAAGAAATATAAACGTTTTCAGAGCTGTGCGCAAACGTAGAATGCGATCATGGAGCTCATTGCATGGCTGGAGTATGCGTGTGCCCGAACGAGTGCCCTGAGAGCACTGGAGAACTAGTATGCGGTAGCGATGCCAAGACGTACCCATCAGAGTGCGAATTGCAAAAGGCAGCCTGTGGAAGGGATCCCAAGTTGCCAGTCTTGCACGTGATATTCTACGGCGATTGCGGTGAACGATTCGCTGTGGCAGCACTCAGTAAGCCATCTATTCCTTCCTACAGGACACGTTTCTTCCTTTTCCTTTTTACGATCAAAAAAGGAATTCGAAGGAGCGTATTTTATCTTTCGAACATGCGTGGATATTAAATTAATTATTTCCCATTAATTATAATTCTTGAAATGGAAATAGATGTAAATTTGCGAGTTCCACTGATGTTATGTATGCAGTGATGCTATCAATACTCACGTATTCGTTTATCAGGAAGCACATACTGTGAAGTTCCTCGAAATAATCATTTCAATGGATAGCGAACATTGCCAAATCGCATAACTAACACCGTAAACGCAATTTCACGTGTATTAGTCGCTGCGAGCTCATCGGTATTAATCATCCTGTACCAAAAATACCTCCCTAACGATACTAACTATCTAACGACACCTTGCGTAACAACCTTAACTACTCTAACCGTCCCTTAACCGCTTCTAATAGCCACGATGTCGACGCCTGCGGTGGTTCGATTGGCCACCACCGCGGTTGACGTGACCAGCACTCAGGTACGCGAGGCTTGCAAGAACATTAACTGCGACTTCGAGGCGACCTGCGAGCTGGGCCCGGACAACTATCCCAGGTGCAGCTGCAAGTTCGACTGCGCCTCGATTTCCCAGGAAAATATGCGTCCTGTTTGCGGCAGCGACCTGAAGACCTATTCGTCCCTGTGTGCCATGAAAATGGAGGCTTGCCAGAGGCAGCAAGAGCTAAGACTTAGACCCCTTGATCTTTGCAAAGGTTCGCAGCAGCTACCATAGCCCGAGTAGATTCGCTGTATAATTGCTTCGACCTTCGGTTCATACCAGTTATTCCATTGCTTGTTCCCCTGCTTTGCTCTCTCGCTGACGATTTAACGAGTTATTATGCATACATTGGCCATGTGTATAGTTTAGTTCATTCGTATAATGCTTTCGGGCGTTTATTTGTTCGTTACATTCGCGATGCTTCTTTCAGAAGGAAAATGTAATTACGTTTTTAATTACACGTGAGTTGTAGCACCTGTGTTGCTTAAAATTTAATTTAAAATGCAATTAGAATTTTAATTAGAATTTTAATTACATGTAAGTTGTAGGAACTTGATATGTTATTTAGAACTTAATTTTGTTTCCTCCTTTTACATAGCCGTAGGTAAACTTTTAATTACTCACTCTCTTCGTAATTCGCGAATTCTTAGTTGTTAATTGGCCTGAATACATTTTAAGATGACAAGGAAGTAAGATATCTCATAGAGGAATATATTTTAAATGGAATCTTTGACGCAGGTATGGAAGTGAAGCCTTGCAACGGTGATCCTCCACTGGTGGACGCCGATGGAAAAGAATACGATTGCGGTAATGGCCCAGAACGACGCGATTGTCCTAGCAACAGTTACTGTCACCAGACCACGCGATTAGCTCGATGCTGCAAAAGAGGTCAGTTGTCCTGTGTACACTGTAACGCTTTATAGAACCCTTCCAAACACGTATCGTGCGATCAACGATATCTCGTAGAGAGAAAATTAACACCATCTACGAGAAAAGAAAAATACATATTCCGGAAAGAAGAAAATAATCGTAAATTATCGCTTATCTAGCCCAAGTCTCAAAATGCAAGGACTCCTGGTATGGCTGTTGCCCGGATAATAAAACAGCAGCACTCGGACCCAATGATGCAGGTTGCCCGAATATATGCAATTGCAACAAGTTAGGCAGTGTTTCTGACATCTGCAATCCAGAGACCGGACAGTGCGAATGTAAACCAGCCGTTGGTGGCCTGAAATGCGATAGATGTATGCCTGGCTATTGGGGTTTGCCTAAAATCAACGAAGGACTTCAAGGATGTATACGTAAGAATGCTTAAGAGTTTTGAGAACTACGCCAAGTAATAATTGTATTATGTACTTCAATCTCAGATTTACTATGCGAATTAAACTTTTATCGATATGCAAATATATTTTATTTGACTGCTTCAGCGTGTGGCTGTTCGCTCTTCGGTTCTATGAGAGAGGATTGCGAACAAATGACAGGTAAATGCGTCTGCAAGACGGATATAAAGGGCCACAAATGTACCATTTGCACCGACCACAACAAGATATTAACATCCACTGGTTGCTACTCAGGTATCACGCGAAAGGAGATCATGTATTTTAGATTCAGCTTCAAACAAATCAATCTTCATTGCCATTGAACATAGAGGAATAATTAGCCTGAAATAATAGCATCGAGCCTTTAAGTCCTTAATAAAATTTCTCCAAATTGAAACGACGTTAACGCGATATTATAGCGTTCGATTGCGACAGGTGAAGCGAAAGCGAAAGAAAATATGTAATAATAGTAATATCATTTTATTTAAGATATCACTTGTTAAGAGAAAATCTGTCCGCAATCTAACATGACCACGATACAGTGGTAGTATAATTCGGCAAGATTATATGGACTATACCAATATCCTAATTCGATAATTTGCATCGATCGATTTAACGGGTTCATTCTATCTGCTTGCAGCCGACACCATACCACCGATACCGACGTCTTGCAGCAAGCTGGAATGCTATTCCGGTGGCCAGTGCTCGGAGATTGGTGGTCCGCACTGCGTTTGTCCGTCGTCCTGTCCATCGGATATACCGTCTGTGCCGATTTGCGGTAGCGACGGACAGACATACGACAACGAGTGCGAGCTCAGGCTGTATGCTTGTCGCCACCAGGCAGACGTGGTCACGCAGGCCTTCGGCCACTGCAGAGGTGGGTTCACTGAACGTACGCCGTACAGGCCGCCTTATATTCTGCATTACTAAAACTAACTAATCGCCGGGAGCACTTTTAACACGATGGATCAGCTGTCGAACGGGATTCGATCCTGCGGATAAAACGCGAAGCTGTTCTGTAGAGTTTAATCAGTATTAACACGAGCCAGTCGCTCGACGTAGAAATAAGTAACGAGGATATTGCGACTTCTCTTCAACATACTTGTTGAGTTTGTAGTCCATATTCAAAGTGTTTCGTTTTTGTTCATGCTAAGAGTAGATATAATGCGATCGTTTGTGCAAATTAAACGACGAGCAGCGAATATAATATTTATGAAGTCAACGATGGAGTAGAGGGTTGGTCTAGCCCATGAGATATTGTCGTAACGATTTCGAGGGTTCGCGAATTTTAGAGTAGCTTAACTAGGAACACGTGTTACGTAGAAACTGGAGTATGAAGTAGGGAAATTAATGATACCATTATCGTTGTGTAGAAGACGTCGAAACGATCTAGTAGAGCCTGATCGAAACTAGGACTAACATCTAACTTGTTCCTTTGTATCCATTACGTGATAATAAACTTATCAAGTTTCTACTAACATGTATACATATATGTTTCTAACCCCTTAACACCCGAAGCGAAGCGCTTGTCCATTACTTTGCTTGCTTTCTTCACTGACACCCTGTGATTAATCTTGCACATCGTTTCTTCCATGAATTTCTCTAAGGCGAAACGACGAATTAACGACCTAACGAGAAAGAAAGCAAAGTGAGTCAAGTTACAATTACGTCGTGCTTACTCAATCGACCGAAATTTGTGTTTCTCTCTTTAACCGCGCCGAGTTGGTTCGAAAGAAGACACAGAATTGAAAGATTGCAGCGGATACGGATCCGCGGATTTCCTTTATCCCATGAGTACGCTATCTCACTCGTAGGTAAATTTTGGGGAAGTTGGTGACGTTAACTCGTGAAACTAAGCGCCAAAAGTGGATTTAACTAAATCACCGTCGACTTCGAAGCGAAGTCTCGTCTTAAGTGGTCCCTGTGAGATATGCCAGGCCGGAACTTAACATCGGAACCTTAAGAAACGGTAACGAAACGTCTTGGCCCAGCCGTTAAGCACAGCCCCGCCATCAAAATAAATTAGTCCGCGAGAGACCTAAAGCTCTTTCGAAGTTCGACCAAATGCAGTACCGACTGCTTTTTCATACCGTTGTCTGCCATAAATTCGCCTTCGGAGATTCGGACGGTGTCGTCCGACCAATCGTAGGTCGCGATAAATCTATCCGACGAAGAATTCTCTTTGCATGTCCTACCAGTGATTTCCGACGGGATCACGTGGACCAGGTAACTAGCAAAATAGATTGAGACCAAGTTTTTAAAATCCCGGATTATCTAACACTTAATTTCGTTTTTACTTTATATTCGTCTCGATTCTTCAGCTAATTACTTATTATCGTAAATGAGACTGGTATTTGATAAACTATATTTAAAATCTGGAAGTTGAAGTTTTGTAGTATTTCAGTCCATGGCTAGAGATGTAAACAGCGAAATTTGCAAAATGAGGCGGTAGAAATTTTCATCAGTTCGTGTTTGGTATAGAGAAATACTCTGTATTTTCTGTATATTTTCGTTTAAATAAAATATTCTACTTATTTAGTCAATGTTTGTGCTACGAAAGTTCTAATTTACTTGGTTTAACGTACCTTTTGTGTTTACTCTTGATTTTATGCGAACGAAAATAATTCCAGCTGAATCGAGGTAGAAATAGACGGAAATAAAGCAACTTCCACCCTTTTCCTGATTTGAAAATTAAATTTACCTGACGGCTGTTTTATATTTTCCGATATATTACGAAAAATCGTGGCAACATCGAACGAACGCAAATATCGTGGAATCCCGAATACAGCCCGGAGTTCACGTGTGGTCGATATACTCGTCGAACGAAGCAACGAGTCTCGCCAGAGGAGAATGCGGAAAGAAGCATCCCCAGCTGTCGCTCCGAAGTATTCCACATTCACTGACAAAGTTCGCGGAGCGAAACGTCAGAATCTATTAAAGTCTCCTCTCGGTTCCGTAACCTCTCACCCCTTATTTTCGATTGCTCAGCCCTCTCGAAGCCCCGCCCCGTCAGCAGCGTTGCCCTGGTCCTCTCCAGCTCGCTGAAAGTCAATCTCTTAAAAAGTTCTTCTTCCTCGGGACTCGTCCTACGGAGTCAAACATAAATCAGATTACTTCGAGCACGCGAACCACCCCTTCGCTCCGCTATCCTCCTAGTCACTGTCTCCGCGTTTTATACGGAGACGACGCGGCTCTCTCTCTCGACTACCGTTTTTCATCGCCGGTTTCCCTCTTGCATTCGCGAGAACGACGCACGAGAATTCCGCGAACGAGAAAGCGTGGAACCGCACGTGGTCGAGACGCCACTTTCAACCCCGTAAATATCGCATACCGCAATTTCTTCGACGTCCTCGCGTGATCCCTTTCACCCGCGCCGAGGATACGCCGGCACTGATTGAAGGATGGATATCCTGCTTACGTGGACGTTCTGACGTGACGTGAAGGTTTATCAAGGGTGAGGGTGCGTTTGATGGATGTGGCGGCCGAAAAAGAAGGAGCGTGACGATTAATTGTTTCGTCCGGGGGTGGAGTCGAACGGATCCGAATTGGTATGTCACGATTTTGAAAAATCCCGTCGAATCGTGCACGGAGAGGATGGTATCCCATACGAATCGACTATTTGTCTGCCGATTGATGTATTATCGTGCCATTTATATCGCGCTTAATTCAACCGTTCGACGAATTTGTTGGAAAGTTTTTAAGGAGAAAAATCGCAAGTCTCGCGATTCGGGTAGAACGTTATCTTACATATTTCACTGTCACGCTTCGCGCCGGGAAACAACGAGGAGCGGCATGGGACCATTATTCAAATCAGCTCGCGACCGCGAGAAGGGTAAAACGAGCTGGACAGAAAATATTCGCACCAACATCGGCACCGTTGTCTCGAATTTCAATTATCCGCGGCCAAGCTCGTTTCACCTTCGAGAGTCATCGATGGAACTTATTTTCCGACGGAAGCAACGAAATCACCGGCAATTCGGACGACAGGGAAAAAACGACGGGAGAAATAAACGTGAAAGCGGGAAGTAGCAACTCGTTTGACTCCGCCTCTTCGTCCACCATCCGCATTTCAGCTCTCAACTTCATCAAAATTCCACGCTTTCAGCAGATAAATACGAGACTAATCCCGCTCCGGTTCTTCGGTACTCTTTGTAAAATAAACAGGAAGGGAATGAAATAATGGAACAGCCAAACGGTAACGTCGATAAAGCCACCCCGGCCGATGAAAAGGCCAATCGGTGGAGCGGATCGGGAAAGAAATTCTCTCGGTTCGTAAATGTCAACTCGTATTTCCCGTCAGATTCTCTTCTCCGCCAATCATCCAACTCTTAAATTGACTAAATCCATTCCCCTCTTTCTCCTCCCCTGCCTCACCGGCGTACCTTCGACTCACCCCCTCGCAATCAGTACCGATTCCCATAGCAGAAAATATTTTCATTGGGGAAGGGAAAAGTTTCGTTGTCAGTTTGTCTCGCAGTCAATAAAAGAATTGATTATATCGGGAGGAATATGCGACTACATTGCCAAGAATGGCCGATAGGGGACAAAAACACACAGGGGGTGGGAAAAATAATGGAAAAAAGTCGCGTGCAGTGGAAGTCGTCATTGTGAAATAATAGGAAGCAACGCTGCAATTGGAAAGTAATTAAAATCCCATCAAGCCGTCTTCGGTTCCTGTTTCCAGCTCGGAGTTACCGGTTTCGATAAAATTAACTTTCCGATTTTCATCATTTAGAGGACTTGCAATGCACTTCCGCCACTTTGTCGGCGATCGGAAGTTCCCTTTCATTCGTACCGATGTCCAGGCTGCTCTTTCATTCGTTGCCACGGTAATCAAATACAGAATGAAAATTCGTTTCAAAATTTCACTCTCGATAGGTCCATCGAATCGTCAGAGTATGCTAATAGCAACAGAAATTAATTTGCTCGAGATAAACGAGGATAGCTATATTTTTAATTACTTCCCGACTGGTATTTGGCTGACAAAAATTCGAGGACAATTTATTTACACGTAAATTTCAACCATACTTGCCAAATATGTCTTACATTTCCAATTAACAACGAACTGTGCATTAAATGCATCGATATTCGACCAAGTATTAAAAGCGCCTAACAAATTTCCAATAATCCTTGTTCGTGCCTAACGATATTTATACAAATTTTTCTGACTCCATTGAACGTACTTCTAAATAAATATTACGGTAGAAATTAGCTATATATTATAATTCGTTGCTCGTCCGAAGCTCATTTCCTCTTCCACCGGTTAAAATTTAAAATCGTAATTGTATTCTTCCGGATGCACCCTAAAATGAGGCATGAGCAGAACTGAGGAACGCTGGTGAAATTTTCAGACGACCCCTTGGTGAACACGGACTTCCCCGTTAAAAGGTACACAGCGGTGCAATACACTCAGCCAGCGGCCGCCATTTCTCCGTTGTCGAAATCTACCAGGCATCTGTTAGTGCCTGAACCGGATCCACGCTATTATTACACACACAGGGCGCATCAAGAAACCATCACGATCGACAGGGACAATTTAAAGCACGGTAAAAGCCTAATCCTATTCCAAGATCGTTCGCGGCCATACTTCATTGCAATGTACCTACGGCGACTACGAAATGCATCTCCGCGCCATCTTTCGTTTCATTTCGATATACTCGATCGTTCCTTCGGATACATTAGATCGAACCTATTCAATTTTCCTTAATTCATCTGTCCATGAACATGTTGCCGCAATAGCGAATTTTTAACACTATGTCGTCCGGTGACACCACGTTGGTATCATACGCAAATGATGAGCCAGTCCTACCGGTACCAAGCTAAAGAATCCTAATTAAACTTGCGAACGGCATAGTGTTAATGTAAACAACGTGAATGTTCCTGCGCCATGTTTGGTGCTCAGATGATACGCGAGTATCACATGCATTTGGTCTAAGCTCCTTTAACCAGTGCTCCGTAATTTCGTCGTCGCGATAACGCTCGCAGCGTAATTAATAATTAGAAACAACGCCGGATACATGATACGAATTATATGTTTGTGCTCTCGTGTGTCTATGTTTTGCCTCTATGTGCGTGTGTGTCGCTTCGAAGCGTGCATTCTAAATCCGCTTGGCGGTTAATTCTGGATCAGCTCGACGTCGGTAATCGGATCGATATCGATCAGAACGTGGTCCGTACGAGAAATGCCTTTTTCCTCGAGAACCGTGTCAATCCATAGACATCGATTCATTCGATAATTCCGCTTTCCAGGAGTGGCCGCAGCGTACAGACCAACCCCAGCCACGATTCGCGTGGTCACCGCGTTGGTCGGTGATCTCTGCAGCGACGACAAGGATTGCACCATCCCCAATAGCGAGTGCTCGAACGGTGGTTGCATTTGCTCCGAAGGATACACGGTGACCAGCGACAGGCAGGACTGTTTTGGTAATTCATTGTATTTTATTATTCGATCGGCTGCGCTTATCTTTCAACGCGTTACGCGTAAGTCTTGAGTGCAGTGTAGAGATAAAACGTGAGAAGTATCGGTAAAATATCAGGGATTTAAAAGAGAACATTTTCCAATTTGAAGTTCAGTTTAACGAATTCGAGACTACACTGAATTATCTTTTTAAAGTAGTTTCGCATATGCGAAACGGTAATTTTAATTATCGTCTACCTTGGCAACGAATAGCTATGAAAGCAAGATTCGAGAAGAATTCCGCGTGTCACGTTTTTCAAGAACACAAAGAGACGTGAGCAGAACTAATTGTCGTAGGAACAGGACCCTAGAAATAACCGCAATGGCACGAAACGGTAATTATCACAGTAGGTTACGTGAAAAGGGAATACCCATGAAAGTACCGTTTGAGAAAGATTTCACGACTCACATTTTCCAAGAAGAGTATAAAGGAAGTCAGGTAGTACTAATTGACGTGAAAACAAAACTCGCGTCACGTTCTCGCGTTACGGTCCTGCGAGCAAAGTGCCGTTCAAACGGAAAGAAAAGAAAGCGATGAAAGTAGATAGAGAAAGGGCCTTTCTTTGCCGAAACGTCCGACGTTTCTTGCGTCCTTTGAAGACCGAGGAAAGAATCTAATTAACCCGTTTCCAGCTAATTACGTGCCTGTCACGCCGACCGAAGAATTTCGTGCCTGCCTGTCGTATCCGTGTCACGCGACATCGACGTGCATCGATCTGCCCAGCGCGACGTTCGTTTGCATCTGTCGTCCAAATTACACCGGTCTATTATGCGACGAGGAGATCAACAAAAGGGATTACGAGGTGCCGTCGTTCGACGGCAAGAGCTACGTCAGGATGAACAGATTGAAGGCTTACTACAAGTTCAGCGTCGAGGTTGAGTTCAAGACGTACGCTGACAACGGGATTATACTTTACAACCAACAGAAGAGCGACGGCACCGGGGATTTCGTCTCGTTAGCCATCGTCGACGGGTCTGTAGTTGTTATCTGTTGAATTAGTATCGTTGACGCGGAGTTAGTTTCGCCGGTATAACATTTTGTTGGGTTATTCGCAAAGTTCTCGTGGTTTGCAATGATTCGTTTCGAAAGTTTTTAGACCTTCGCGTTATATATAATGATATTTGTTTTCATAAAATACAGATATGTATTTATGGAAGCCGGGTGGAATTATAACAGCGAGTTCGATTATTAAAATATTACTGTCGACAGAGTTTCTTAATTGAATGACGCGAACGAATGAAATTTTATCCGGAGTTTATGACTTTAGAATTTTAGATCGATTAGTAGTGTTAGCAAAGAAAATTTAGCTAGTTCAAAGCAGAAATTGATATTTTCTATTTTGCTTGCAGACACATACAGTTTCGATACAATTTAGGAAATGGACCTGTAATTTTGTCCTCCCCCGAAAGGGTTACTATGAAAACTTTCCACCGCGTGGCAGCCAAGAGGTATCATAAGGATGGTGTTTTAATTTTTAATAACCGAGAAGATGTCGCAGGTCAGAGTCAAGGGATGTTGAAGTCACTTGACCTAAACCAAGATACATTCATTGGAAATATGCCTACAAACTATTCCAAGTAAGTATTCCCTCTAAATTCTTTATTACGCAAGCACCAATATTTTTCCAACTTTATCGAGTTCTAACGTTTCTAACTCAAGGTGCGTTAACATCGAATTTCTTTATTTTCACAGGATTTACGATAATATTGGCACCAGTCACGGTTTCCTCGGTTGCATACGAAAACTGAAGATCAATCGGAATTTCGTCGATCTCCACGTAGGGCGCGACAAAGAGGTCTTGGAGACCTATCGCGTGAAGGAGTGCGGAGAAAACGCGTGCGCCAATCTTCCTTGCCAGAACGGTGCAACTTGCCAACCGATCTTCGAAGAAGACCTCTGCAATGGTCGCGAATGCAGAAGAATCCATAAACGGGGAAAGGGCAAGAACAGGAACGGAATGAACATCGTAAGGTGCAAGGGATTGCATTGCACCACGATCGATCAACGCAGATCGAACATCAACGATTACGACGTTGATTACGAAAGCAGTTACGAGCATGGAAATTACGCGGTGGAAAAGTACGACCCTCCTGATTACAGATGCATTTGTCCGCCTCAGTTCACAGGCAGAAACTGCGAGGAGTCTTTAGACCCTTGCATCGGCGAACCTTGTCAGCATGGCGCCACTTGCGATATTCTACCACAGGGTGGTTACGTTTGCAAGTGCCCACCTGGCAGGACTGGAGAACATTGTGAGAACCGTGAGTACTTTTCTATTTTTCTCTCCAAGTACTCTTCTATCTGTGGTGATAATCTTACTGTCGAGTCTGACGTATAGATATTATTCGTTATCGAATAGCTTTATTATGTAATTGGTTGCAGTTGACGCTGAATTGACGGAGCTATTGATACCCGAAATGTCTGGAGACGGTTTTCTGGAACTGCCATGCCTGGAAGGCGTAGCGAAAGCATTTTCCATCGAGTTGTGGTTCCTCACACACGCGAGCGACGGTTTGCTTCTTTACAATGGCCAACTGAATAACGGACGTGGTGATTTCATTAGCCTGAATCTGGTCCATGGAAAACTGGAGTTCAGATTTAATCTTGGAAGTGGTATCGCCAACATTACCTCTCCAGATCCAGTTACACTCGACACGTGGCATTGTGTTCGTATCAACAGGCTGGGCAGAGAAGGTGTTCTTCAGTTGGATGACGGAACAGTTGCCAGAGGAGTATCTGGAAGTCCTTTAACGGAACTGAATTTGGAAATGCCTCTTTACGTCGGTGGTGTCAAGTAAGTTGAAACAAGTCCAATGAGATTTGAGTCGTGCGAAAGAAAATACATCTTCGGTTAACTTGTAGACAATGGCGAGAAGTGCATCGACTGGCTGGAGCGTGGACTGGATTGGTAGGTGCGATACAAAGATTGATGGTGAATGGAAAAACCTACCAGAATCTAGCCGTCAACGTTACTCAACATAACACGGAAATCTACGATGGTCTACCATGCCCTAGCAATGAAAACCCCTGTTACAATGGTGGAGTGTGTCTACCTCTGTTAAATAGTTACCTGTGCAAGTGTGCTAGTAATTACAATGGCCTCCATTGCGAATTCTGTAAGATTTACATAGAATTTTATTTACATAGACATTGCTAGTACAAATGTTTCTTATAAGACAGAATTAGTGTAGAATTTATCTTTTTCCTCCCACTTTGTTAGTCATGGGTTACGACGTATCTACAGAAGTATCCGAAAGACCAGTTCGCTTCAAGGGCGACAATTTCCTGCAATTCAGACATCGAAATGGAAGAAGGTAAACCTAATCGAATAACGATTAAACGTTAAACGTTTTCCAAAAGTTCTATCGCATACTCCTAAGTCACTGCATCACACTTTCTAAGGTACTATTCCGAATTAGGAGCACCAAGTTAGGTTTCAATAACATTAGTAACGGTAGACTACTTAGACCCTTCTTCAATCAAAGTATCACTAACCTTTTGATTGTGTAACACCGACTAGTACTAACTCAACTAATACTACCCTCGGCGAGTACTTTGAGGAGTCCTACTCCGACTACGACTTGGAGGAGGAAGTCGACTACGATTACGACACTTACGATTACACGGAGTAAGTTTCTAGGAAGAATAGCTGTGGTGTACTCGTTTGAGGGAGAGACATTGTTCTCTGTGCCTATGAATTTGCCGTTTCTGCTACCCTGTTTATTCAGATGTAGAGAATGCTAATATCATACCCTTCAAACTCAATCCAAGAAACTTTACGTAATTTACTAAATTTTGAAAAATATCAATTATAATTGGTATATTCTACATGAAATAAAAGAGTTTAACATTTGAAAATTGTCGTGGAAAATAAAGTTAACAGGGTTGATATTGTATGATTTTCGTTGCTTTTATAGCAATGCTTGCATGTGTGTTATGTCATTGTCCTATGGCACTGTAGCTCGATGTTTAAGTATTCGAAAATTGAATAAATGACTAAAGAAAATTATATTTTAGGCGTAAGGGACAGCAATCGAATAAATTTGAGTTGAGATTGAGAACGACACATCCGGATGGACTGATTGCCTGGGTTGGAAGAGGAAAAATCGAGAATCTTGTCTTATCGTTACACAGTGGTCAAGTGCTTCTTACATACAAAAGCAAGAATGAACTGATATCTCTGAGGAGCAGGGTTTGTATTTATTTCTTAATTATTCTATCCAACACGAATTTTTATCTACGATTTTAGTACAAAATTTTGGAAAATTGACAAACTGCAAATAAACTTGAAGCGTAGCGCTTTGCTTGGTACTCTACGCAGAGGCGGCTACCCATAGAGACCCTGACCTTAGGGACGTTGTAAAGCATCTCATAAAAGGAAATTCAGATCGGTGTACTAAATTCTAATACTCTGCTTCCGCAACTCTAACGTTATTCATTTCAAAAGACTTTAATGACTCTCAGTTCCCATATAAATTGGGATTCAAGAAAAATATAGAATACGCGAATAAATTAGAAAAGAAGCTAAAATTTGTTAGACAGTGTTATTATACCATCGTATCTTGAGCTTTCACACTGATTCATGAAAGATTACAAACAATGTTAATATTATCTCAAAAGTAACATACCAAAATTCCACCATTACACTTTAAACGTGATGTACTGTACAAATTTTCTTCTAACTTCTGCTACATCTACATATAAAATAAAACATCGCAAATGTTTGATCGATCCTTGTTCTATCCAGGAACGGGTGGACGATGGCGTTTTCCACCATATCAGAGCATCGAGAAGACGACGAACATCGATGATACAGATCGACGACTTCACCCCAGTGAAGGTATCGACAGAGACCACTCTGTTAACGACAAACGGCAAGCTCTTCGTCGGTGGTAAACCAGGCCATCGAGGTATCAAAGGCTGCGTGTCGGACTTCGTGGTGGACAAACGGCGTCTTCAACTGGCCAGGCGGAAGATCGAGTACTGTCACGACAACGATGTATGATAACGAATCCCGGAAACGACGATTGTCAACGTGACGTCGCCTCTGGCCACGCTTGTCGACTGGACGCCGCTTTTGTCCTCGACGAGTTAGCACCAGCCTAAAAACGGACAAAGACGAACGAAGCGAAGGTGGTGTTCGTTTCTGGGGGACGAATGGAAACGAGGCACGTGGTCTGAACGATCGTGAGGAAAACGAGGAATAGAGAACCTAGGTGACGGAAGGAAACTGGGGTCGAAGTCGATACGATGACACGTGATTCCTGCCAAAGCTGTGCGAGAGAATTCCGTGGATATGGGAACGTCGATCGTACCACGGGAAGGATGAATCGCGGATCCAATGAAGTAGCAAGCTAACTCGTATATTTATTTTTCGTTCAGGATAGTATAGAGAAACAGAGTCCCGTTTGCCGTTCGTTCAAACGACGAACGGGCCAGACGAGAGAGAAAAGAGAGAATAAATGGAACACCGCGTTAAATGCTGAACGTTCTCATCTAAGGACAATAATATATTTTTAAGGTGACGAGATTAAGTATACATATGGATATATATGTATGTATAAAATTTAACGCGTATACGTATAAACGGGGAATGGGGAGGGTAGGGGGATGCCTGTAAAGCCTCGACATGAAGCTGAGTAACATGGACAGTGGGGTTGGGGGGTTTCCGGGGACAAAGACGCAGAGGCGGGCGTGAAAGGGATACAACTCATCGATATTCGTTTAGACGTTACTCTGTAAGTTAAATATATCGAAGCACCTATAAATGTTTTACGATGCCAAGACTGATTAAAGGGGAAATAGAAAAGAGAACGAAAGAGGGAGAACCGGGGAAGTTAGAAGAAAAAAAAAAATAGTTAAAAGGGAGAAAAAAAAACAGAAAAAACAAAGCGATAAATCGGTGTTATGTTTGAGTGTTTCGGTAGAGAGATTTAAATGATTGTGCATTATCAGAATATAGAAGAATGTATTTTAAAGGACTTGTTGATTTACGCCAGTAGAGAAAAATGAGAAAAGAAAAAAAAAAATGAAAAGAAGAAAAAGAAGATGAACAAATAAAATACATATACATGTACACCCACACGCGTACACGGAAACATACGTAACACGCATAAAGAAGAATTATACAAACAGATACGCCGTACAACGTTGTTTCTAGGCAAGCAAAGCTTTTTACAAATGCGCAAAGGAATATATATATGTTCCTATGTAAGGAATATATGTATATAAAAAATTATGATTATATATATATATATATATTATACATATGATACTATGCAGATTACATTCCATGTAATGGACATCAATGCGACGAACAAATTTTACGTAGGTACCACGGTGAATGTGTATCGTCGATCATCAATGTACTAGACCAGGTACTAGAGAATGCATCGAGCTTACCTCGAAGACACTCCATTTCTGTTCGACAATCTCAAACACACTTGCACGTAATAGCTCTGCAACCAATTCTAAAAGCTTACGACCGTGGCCATAGATTTCTTCTTGATGTACAGGGTTCGCATAGATTCTACGTTTACTACGATTCGGTTATAAATGGACTAAAATCGAGAAGAATCGAAAGCGTGCGTGTATTTAACTAATCGAACACGACGTCGAATCGTTTCTCCCAAATAATAATTGTATTTTCGATTTATTCGAGTTTCTTCGACAGTCCGGGAGCAAGGATCCAAAAAGGAGAACGAATCTTCGAGGAGATTTCCAATTCCAACAAATTCGATATGAATGAACGGGAAACGATTCGATCTCTTGATGCGACGAGGAAAAAGGACAGAAATAATAGTTATACGAAAACGAACCGCTTGTGTGTAATCGAATGATCAACGAGAAGGAGTGTCTGAATGAAAGCTGACTGTATGGTTGGAGAAAAAGATGTGAATACCGTGTCCTGATATACTACTTGTAAATATAATTAACATGTGCTGATCTACGAGTTGATTATCGTTTTACTATCGTGTACTAAGAGCTCGCGTGAGCGTGCACACCTGCATAAGTCGGACCTAAAAAAGCGAAAAAAGAGAAGAGAGAGAATCTTCGAGACGACCTAATCGTAATCGTAATAATTCATCGAATCAGCCTTTTTCGACGAATATTTTCATTTCATTTTCCTCCGTCGCTCGTGAAAACGAAAAATATGTCTGCGTCAACGTGTTCTTCCCTTGCTCGTTAAATCCCGCGAATGATCACAACGTAACGTCGATGAGAGCCTAAGTTTTAATCGTTAATGGCGGCTGCCGATCCGTCGCGGAAAGAGACGCTATCGAAGATTTTTTCACCCACCTCGTCGAACGTTTCCAGCCTCGCTCGGTTTACCGAATGGACAGAGGTTTCATTTTAATACGGAAACGAACTAATTGTAACGAATATTTGTTAGCGATGATAAGCGTCGAGGATGAAAGAACTTTCTAATGTTTAAGGTTGTTTTTTGAGTGCACCGTTTGCGTATGTAATTTCTAGAATCTAAGCGCGAAATACGATACATATCTTTGACGTGCATAAGTTTATATATTTATAAAATTCCGTCATCATGACTCGACGTTAATCGACGATGTAAATAATGACCATTTCTGTCTGGAAATGTTCGACGTTAAGGACGCTATGCACGTCGTTCTAAGAATGAGCGTCGATCGACCAAAACTTTTTGCTTAATTATTTGAAAGAAGCACGTGGACATTGTCCTCGATCCACGTCGCTTACCACAAATCGCCGGGTGTTTCTTAAACGTGTCTTTTTTATTACGTTCGTTTATTCGAAAGGTACACGCGCTTATACAATTTTGATAACGAAACCGCTTTTACCCCGGGAATAATTGTAACGTCTCGTAAGCAATCATATCTTTTCATATCCGTCGATCTATCGAGATCGGTGTGCGAGAAAAATCCGAAGAAACGCGTTCGTTCTCGAATAATTAAGCCTTCGCTGCGTATGAAAATTGTTCCTCGTTACCGAGAATTCGATTCGATCGCGAGCAATATCGTCACATATCCTCCCTCTTAAAGTGTGATTCTTTGTATTCTTCCAATGAATATCGCTATTTAACATATCGAAACGAATTTGTGGCCAGTAATGTGTCTCCTTAGAGGACAGAGAAAAAAGGAAATGTTTCATTATAACGAACAGGCTACGCCTGTATTATGCGACTTCTGCTCATACCGAGAATAAAGAGGAAAAATCTGCTTCGATCGTCAAGGTTGCTTTCACGAATATACTGTGTTTTATATATATATCTATATAATGGAAAAAGAAAAAAACGAACTTAGATTCGAAACGTATTATAATTATATTTTTATCGAATATATTTCAATTTGTAAGCGTTAAGGATAAAATTCGTAGATTTCAGTTATATCATACGTGTAAGTTAATTATTAAATTTCGACTGTAATCATTTTTTGCTACATCGAAGGCGTTGCATCGTGAAAAGATATGTCGAAAGAGATGAGGAATATTCTAAAAATTTCGATGTTGATTTTATGATAAATTGTTCCCATTGTCGATCTTATTTGTTAAACCGCCACGTTCTACTTTGTTGCGGTAGCTTGTCTGCGAATCATCAATGTGACCGATATTTACGTAAGCATGTACGTAATAACGATGTACAATATGTAATCGACGGAACGGTACAAAATAAACCAATAAAGATTACCACCTGACTAGCTTGGGAAATCGTTCGACGAAAACGAATTTCACGATGCTCGCGTACGGTTTAAGAACGGAAGAATGTATAGAAGAAAGCAGAAGAGCGAGGAAAAATTTCAATCCATGCCTGAAAATTACTGCCAATCTAGATAGAGATTACAGGATCGATGTTTTCCCCTCTAAAGCTTCCCTTGTCCCAGGAAAATTATTAACCGTGAGTTATCGAACCCTTTCGAAACGGAACGAAATCGATTGTCTCCCCATGATACCGATCAGAGAGGAAATGATTTCTCGAGACTTCCGTTGTGCGTGCAACACCATTCAACGTTGTTTGTTTCTCACGATGGACACCCATTGCGGCAAGGCGATCGTTTGAATTAGTTTTTTTACTTTGATACCGTCTTTACTGCGACCATTCGCCGTTCGCTGACCTAAAGTATTTGTGAGCTACACTGTATAACAAAAAGTACGCGTTGTAAAGTGACTGTATATACAAATATAAATTATGCGATTATCTTGAGAGTAGTCTCATTTCTTTCCACCTCATTTCTTACTCTCTTTCTTTCTTACTCTGTTCTATCGTGCGCTCATATTTCTTTCATCTCTGGTACACCAATGTGTTTGCAGTAATCAATTTGATATAAGAGTCTGATTTTGTCAATGCGCAAAGGAATATATATATGTTCCTATGTAAGGAATATATGTATATAAAAAATTATGATTATATATATATATATATATTATACATATGATACTATGCAGATTACATTCCATGTAATGGACATCAATGCGACGAACAAATTTTACGTAGGTACCACGGTGAATGTGTATCGTCGATCATCAATGTACTAGACCAGGTACTAGAGAATGCATCGAGCTTACCTCGAAGACACTCCATTTCTGTTCGACAATCTCAAACACACTTGCACGTAATAGCTCTGCAACCAATTCTAAAAGCTTACGACCGTGGCCATAGATTTCTTCTTGATGTACAGGGTTCGCATAGATTCTACGTTTACTACGATTCGGTTATAAATGGACTAAAATCGAGAAGAATCGAAAGCGTGCGTGTATTTAACTAATCGAACACGACGTCGAATCGTTTCTCCCGAATAATAATTGTATTTTCGATTTATTCGAGTTTCTTCGACAGTCCGGGAGCAAGGATCCAAAAAGGAGAACGAATCTTCGAGGAGATTTCCAATTCCAACAAATTCGATATGAATGAACGGGAAACGATTCGATCTCTTGATGCGACGAGGAAAAAGGACAGAAATAATAGTTATACGAAAACGAACCGCTTGTGTGTAATCGAATGATCAACGAGAAGGAGTGTCTGAATGAAAGCTGACTGTATGGTTGGAGAAAAAGATGTGAATACCGTGTCCTGATATACTACTTGTAAATATAATTAACATGTGCTGATCTACGAGTTGATTATCGTTTTACTATCGTGTACTAAGAGCTCGCGTGAGCGTGCACACCTGCATAAGTCGGACCTAAAAAAGCGAAAAAAGAGAAGAGAGAGAATCTTCGAGA